AGAGCATTTGAAGGAGGAGGCAGTGGGTGGCATCCCTTGCAGGCGTAAGCCCAGCGAGAGGGCCACCGTTCTGAGTCTAACTTGAAGGGCACTTACTGAGCATTCAAGAGGGTTCTGAGACTTCACAGCCACCAAGCAGTGGGGGGAAGGGGCTTCACCGCCCTAGCTGCCCCCACACACACTCCTGACTCCATCCCAGTGCCTCCCACCACCTTTTCCCTGGCCCAGTAGGCCTCGCTCTCTATTTCTCCCCAAAGTGCCCTCAGACCATGGGTTCCAAACGCTCTGCACCGGGAATTGGTGCACACCATTCTTTATTGAATCCAGAGAGGAAGGGAGAGGGAGGGAGAGATAAACATCAGTGATGAGAAAGAGTCATTGATCAGCTGCCTCCTGCATGCCCACTGCTGGGGATCAAGCCCACAACCTGGGCATGTGCCCTTGACCGGAATTGAACCCAGGACCCTTCAGTCCGCAGGTCGATGCTCTATCCACCGAGCCACAGCAGCTGGGGCCAAGGTATTTGGGACTGAGTTTGGCCGGACGGAAGCCCAGGGACTCTTAAGCCAGAGGAGGGGCAGCTGCCAGGTATCTCCAGAGGAAAGCAGCTGCTCCCCTTGGCGCCCTCCCCCCCCACCCATTCCACAGCTGGTGTGGAAGGCCGGGGGGAGGTGGCAGCCAGTCAATGGCTCTCACCGCTGAGGTCTCTCTCCCTCCCTTCCTCTCTGAGTCCCATCCCTGTCTGTTATAAAACAAGAAAACATCTGTTTTCTGCTCCGAGCCGCCCAGAGCGGCCCAGGGCTCCCTCGGGACTGGGATTCCTGGCGCGGGCCTTGGTGCCAGGCTGCCCGCGGCCACACGGGGGCGCCCGCAGCTTCCCACCTGCGGCCTCCACCAGCCCAGCTGTGTGTGTGTGTGTGTCTGTGTGTGTATCTGTGTGTGTGTGTGTCTCTCTGTGTCTGTGTGTGTGTGTCTTTGTCTCTGTGTGTGTCTGTGTGTGTGTCTCTATGTGTGTCTCTGCGTGTGTGTCTGTGTGTGTGTGTCTGTGTGTGTGTCTCTGTGTCTGTGTGTGTGTGTGTCTATGTGTGTGTCTGTGTGTGTGTGTCTCTGTGTCTGTGTGTCTGTCTGTGTGTGTGTCTGTGTGTGTGTCTGTGTGTGTGTCTGTGTGTGTGTGTCTCTGTGTGTGTCTCTGTGTGTGTGTCTGTGTGTGTGTGTGTCTGTGTGTGTGTGTGTCTCTGTGTGTGTGTCTGTGTGTGTGTGTGTGTGTGTGTGTGTGTGTCTGTGTGTGTGTCTGTGTGTGTGTGTCTCTGTGTGTGTGTGTCTCTGTGTGTGTGTCTGTGTGTGTGTGTGTGTCTCTGTGTGTGTGTCTGTGTGTGTGTGTCTCTGTGTGTGTGTCTGTGTGTGTGTGTCTCTGTGTGTGTGTCTGTGTGTGTGTGTGTGTCTGTGTGTGTGTGTGTGTCTGTGTGTGTGTGTCTCTGTGTGTGTGTCTCTGTGTGTGTGTGTGTGTCCCCGCCTCCCTCACCGTCTGCGGGGGTGAGGGAGAATCGCTGGGGGAAGGGGCCGGGAGCTCAGCATCTGCCTCCTGGGAAGGGCGCGGAGGGGCCACGTTGGGGAGAGCAGGGCGCCCGGGAGGAGGCCTCCGCCCCCACCCCGTGGCTCCGCCTCCCCCTCCTGGCCTCACCGGCCACTGTCCGGCTTCCCGGCCCGGGCAACCCCGGCCGCACACACGTGCGCACAGCGCCCCCGCGTGGCCCCGGACCCCGCCTCAGGCCGCAGCTCCCGGGAGCCCGAGTCCTCCCGGGCCGGGCTGGTCCCTCGGCAAGAGCGGGGGAGCCCGGGGTGGCCGGCGGGGCGGGGGCCGGGCGGGTGTCTGCGGGGGGCGGGGTGTCTGCGGGGGGCGGGGCGGTTCGGGGGGCCGGGCGGGGTGTCTGCGGGGGGCGGGGTGGTCTGCGGGGGGCGGGGCGGTTTGGGGGGCCGGGCGGGGTGTCTGCGGGGGGCGGGGTGTCTGCGGGGGGCGGGGCGGTTTGGGGGGCCGGGCGGGGTGTCTGCGGGGGGCGGGGTGTCTGCGGGGGCCGGGTTGGGGGCCGGGCGGGGTGTGTGCGGGGGGCGGGGCCGGGCGGGGTGTGTGCGGGGGGCGGGGCGGGGGCGGGGCGAGGGGGTCTGCGGGGGCGGGGGGGGGCGTTTTCTTTTCTGCCGGAGACGCAGCCCCGGCGGGAGGCGGCCCGGGGACCTGACCGCCCCGGCGGCCGCAGCCCGCGGAGGGCCGCCCGAGGCCCCGCCGCTCCGGGGTCTGCGAACCACCGCCCGGGCGCGGCCCCCTAAGAGCGGCGCTGAGGGGAGCCGCGCGGAGAACGCACACGGAGCCGAAGCTGGGAGCACGCCAATGGCGCCCCGCCCCCTCCGCGGCGCGGCCCCTCCCGCAGGCCCGCTCCCCGGCCGGGGCGGGGCGGGAGCCTGTTGCTAGGTCCCCAGTGGAGACGGGGCTTCCCATTGGTTCTCCTGCCTCAGGGGCAGCCAATGAGAGGGGGGAGGGAACAGCCCCTCCCTCCCCCACCCCAGACACCCCCGCGGACCCTGTGGGTGCTGTGACCGGGCTGCGGAGGCGCTTCCGGTCACGTCCCGCGGGGGCCCAGCTCCGCGTGCAGATGAGGCCGGTGCACCCGCCGCCCCACCCCGCGGGAGGCGGGGGCTGCCAGGGCTGCCGGGCGGGGGGCGCTCTCTAGTGTCCATCGCGGTCAGGTGAACCCCAATCTTTTGCGAAGAGGGTGAAACCCCGCCGAGTGCGGAAGCTGGGGCGCAGCGCGGCCCCGCCCCGGCCCTGAGGAGACGCCAGGGCCCCGGGCCCGCCCCCGGACTGCCGGGACCTCCACCCGCCGCCTCCCGCTGAGCCGCCGGTTTGGGGTGGGGGTGGGGGACTTGCAATGATTGACTCCCTGGACCCTGGGCCGGGGCTTATTCACAGCCGGGGGGTGGGGGGGGCGCCGCAGCCCCTCCGCAGGCGCAGAGCCCGGGGGAGCCGCCCGTTAGGGCCTCTCCCTGTAACAGCACCTCCACCCACAGGCGGTCGGAGCCTTAGCTCTCCCTCCGCAGGTGTCAGGAGGCTCCACCGGGAGAGCCACGAGCCTCTACTGGACCCGTGGCCGGTGGATCTCATTAATTTTTTTCTTACAGATTTCTGTGACCTACGAGATGGTTGAAGAATTTGGGGGTCGGGGGAGAAGAGGGAGGAGCTTTTGCAGAAAACAGGAGGAGATGAAACAAAAAGAGACTTTAAAAAAAAAAAGGCCTGTCTCTTCCAGACAAATCGCAGGCTCTGCTCACACGGAAACCACCTCCCTCTCCCTCCGAGGCAGTAACTGAGCGCTGCAGCCGGAGCAGGTCTGATTCCAGACAGCATTGATCTATAATAATCTATAATAACGAAAGCATAATATGCTGATGAGACTGGAAGTCCTTCCGGAGGAAGCCTTTCCCTGGTGCTCGCAGCCTGGAAAGAACAGATTTCGGGCATCGGGCCTCTAGTTTCAAAATAAAAGCCTTCTTCCTTGAGCCCCATGGGATCGATGGTGCTGGTGGCCCACCCTGCGGGGGGAGTGGCGTGGGGGGGGGGGAGCGGCTGCCAAGGGAGAACCTCGCGTGGAGAAGGAGGAAGTCCCTGGCTGTCTTCGCGCCCTGTGTGACAATGCACTCAGCAGTTAAGGGCCATTTTGCATTCACAGGAGAAATGGGTGAAGTCATAAGACCTGAGCCCTTCCTTTCAGGAGAAGAAAAAGGAGCCAGAGACGTGGCAGGTCACCAATCAGTGCTGGAGCTCCTTCTCTAAGCACTCAGGTCACGTGCTCTGCCAGGCTGGCATCTGCTGCTGCAAAGAAGCAACAAAGGCCTGGAAGTAAGAGGCCGGCTCCGCGACACCCAGTGGGCCAGGTCAGAGGCCAGAGGGAACACCCCATTCTGATCAGAAAGGCCAAAGCCCTCTCCGGCCGTTTTCCTGGGCAGCTCAGAGCTGCCGGCTGTGATGTTTCCCTGCTCCGGAAGCAAATCATTCCTCTTGTGCCAAACAAGCTACTGTCGTTCCCACTGTCCTCAGAAACACTCAGAATATCGACTTGCTCGAACTACCGTGTTTCCCCGAAAATAAGACATCCTCCAAAAATAAGACCTACTTACAGGTTACCTTCTGAGTGGAATAGAAGGCATCCCACCGAAAATAAGCCCCCCTTCCCCCCTTAGGCTAAACATGAGAGATTTGGTCCACTGATTCTGAAAGAAATGGAGTCACAAGAAATTCACCAGGAAATTCAGGAATTGGATTGTTATGATGATGTTCCAGAAGATGTTGACATGATTGTCCTTGAATAAATGAGTAAATTCTTGATACTGTAGGATTCTCAGTTTGTGTCTGGTTTGTGTTGACAACTACTGTACTACCGTACTGTATACAGGTAATAAATTTCCTTTATTTTCATTTAACTATAAATGTGTACCTTATTCTTTCTCATGGAAAAATAAGACAACCTCTGAAAATAAGACCTAGAGCATCTTCAGGGGCAAAAATTAATATAAGACAATGTCTTAGTTTCGGGGAAACAGGGTAGCATTTTCCTTTTGTCTCCAGCATTGGGTTTTAGGCCCAGAATCTCCAGAGGTTGTTTGTTAACCAGTTCTGGGGCAGGAATGTCAGAGCCAGGGAGCCCCCACACCCCCCGGAGAACCAGCCAGGCCCTTGAAGGAGCTAACCTGGGTCCTTACACACCCATTCCCTAAGTTCCTTAAGACCCAACAGAACCTGCACTAACGCGGAAATAGTGAGGCCCACTGATGTTTCTGAAAAGAAGGCGATTAATTAAAATGACTAGGCTGCACTGAATTATTAAAATGGGAAGTCTGTGGGGGTGACTAAAAAAGCCAGCACATGTTTGCAGTGCAAAAGTTAAAGCCATGCTCTGGTTCGTTAGCTGAGACGGGAGTTCACACAGTTCAGCCTGCAGTCCTCGTCACAAAGGGGAGGTGTTTGGTACCTCATGGCGGTAAGGGCTCTTGTAAGATCAAACAAAAGGAAGAAAGCAGCAGCACCAGGCGCCCTATTGCTGGTGGGACAGAGGGGAGCATTCAATCTCAGGAGTGTGGGCCTGGCTGGCATGGACCAGGGACAGTGAGGGCAGGGAGCCCCTCCCCCCAGGCCCAGCTGTGCCTCCCACGCAGTTGCTGTCTTTCTCAGAGGGGCAGACAAACAAGGTGGGGACCCGCTACAACTGTAAGAACTAGTCCTCATGCTCTGCTAGCCGTGACTGTTGTTCTGATTAAGAAGGCACGTTCTGCCGAAGCCGGTTTGGCTCAGTGGTAGAGCGTCGGTCTGCAGACTGAAAGGTCCCAGGTTCGATTCCGGTCAAGGGCATGTACATTAGTTGCGGGCACATCCCCGGTAGGGGGTGTGCAAGAGGCAGCTGGTCTATGTTTCTCTCTCATCGATGTTTCTAGCTCTCTATCTGTCTCTCCCTTCCTCTCTGTAAAAAATCAATAAAATATATTTAAAAAGAAGAAGGAGGAGGAGGAGGCACGTTCTGGCCTGGCTGGGAGGAGCCCACATCTGCTGTTCATGAGGTCTGTCACACCTGTGAGTCCGTAGGCCCCATTCCGATACCGAATTCCTTGAAGGCCCATCCTGGACGCAGCCCGTGCTCTCAGGAGCCCTGAACCTCTCCCTCTGAGGGTGCCCCGCAGCACTGCGTGCACACAGCCTGGCTCCACCCCCACGTGCAGCAAACGCTAGTGCTTGTCCACTATTCCACGTGTTCTTCTCCCGCCTCCCTCGAATGACCTTGAAGTCACATGACTGGGTTAGGTCACCATAAACAGATTGGCAGATGTCACTTTGGGCTCAGGGTCAGGAGCCAGGGTGCTTCATCTGTTCCTCTCTCCCCTCCTCAGAGCGGGGAGGGGGTGGCCGGGAGCGAGTCTCCGGGAAGTGCAGCCGCAGGACCGCACTCTCCCAGCGTGGAAGCCGAGGGCAGAGCTCCCGACAAGCCCGTGGGTGTTACCTGAGCAAGAAGCCAGTGGCTGTGTCAGCTCTGACACAGGGCTGCTGTCCCTCAGTAGCCCGGCTTATCCTGACTGTTTCACCTCCTCAGACTTTCAACACTGGACACAGGAAGCAGCACTCAGGAGGTACTTGCGTGGGGTCCCTCAGCCTAGCCTGCGGGATCCGGCTGAAACCAGCTCTCCAACATCCCCCAAGAGGTCCTGGATTTCAAGAGTGCACAGGCCAGGCCAAGGGACCGCACCGGTGCATGATTGGGGCCGGAGAAGGATGTGGGAGGTTGGCCAGCCTGGGAGGGAACACAGGAGGGCTCAACGGGCAGACCCCAGCAACAAACTAATCTACCAGTCTGAGCATCTAGCCCCTGGTGGTTAGTGCATGTCATAGCGAGTGGTTGAGCAGCCTTAACATGTCCTACATAATAAAAGCCCAGCGATCAAACAGTGGAATCAACAGAATCACCAGTCGACCGATTGCTATGACATGCAGTGACCACCAGAGGGCAGACTCTCAACACTGCTTGACTGACGGAGATAAGTGGCACTCCCACAGCTGGCCCATCCTCACAGACCACGTCCCCTACCAATGCATGAATCCCATGCACCAGGCCTCTAGTCATTAGTATATTACACTTTGATTGGTTGCATGGCTGACCAGACAACCAGACACTTAGCATATTAGGCTTTTGTTTTATAGGACTAGAAGCCAGCAGCACAAAGAGATTCGTACAATAGGCCTTCCTTCCCTTGGCTTCCAGCAGTGGTTTTCCTCTGGAACCCGGGACCCAGGCCTTTGCTCTGGCCAGAGTCTGGCTTCTTGATCTTCGCTGCAGACTCTGGAGTTTGCAGTCTTATCTTCACTGGGGCATTCCACTCCTATAGATCCCTTTGCCCCTGGCCCTCCCTCCCTCTCATAGCAGGTGTCCTGCCCTGCCTGGCCGCTCTGCACCTGGAGCAGCTGGGTGACTGCCATCTTTGGACTTCTAATTTACATACTTACTCTGATTGGCTGTGGGCATAGCAGAGGTATGGTCAATTTACATGTTTGTTTATTATTAGTTAAGATGTAAATTTTGTAAAAAAAAAAAAAGTGTCTATTTTTTGTACATTTGGCTTAAGTTGCTATAATTACTTTTCACTTCTTAAGGATAAAAGAAGAATATTAGGTTATAGAATGATATTTGAAGAATAGGATTCTACCATTCATCCTTCTCTTCATTTAAGAAAATCTATATACTAGGATAAGAAACAATAGCCAAGCACGGCCAGTATGTCTCAGTGGTTGAGCAGCAACCTATGCACCAAGAGGTCACTGGTTCTATTCCAGATTAGGGCACATGCCCAGGTTGTGGTCTTGACCCTGTCCCCAGTAGAGGGCATGCAGGAGGCAGATTGATCAACGTTTATCTTTCTCTCCTCCTTCCTGGCTCCCTTCCTCTAAAATTCAGTAAAAACGTATTTTAAAAAGAAACAATAGCCTAAAGGAAACAATGTACCACATTATTAATAAAATGTGGATAAGCAACCAATGACAAATTATATTTCCTTTTTGTTGATTTTCAACTACAATTACATTAAATATCTATATATATAAAAGGCTAAGTGACCGACTGTCCATCTGTCCGATTGGCTGGTACATATGACTCCTGACACTTCTATTATAGAGAAAGGGTAAATAGCGATATTTAAATATTTTATATTTTAATTTTATAATACTACTAGACCTGGTTTAGTAAATAAGCATTGGCCTGCAAACTGAAGGGTTCCAGGTTTGATTTTGGTCAAGGGCACATGCCTGTGTAGTGAGCTCAATGCCTATAAGGGGGTGTGCAGGAGGCAGCCAATCAATGATTTCCACTCATCATTAATGTTTCTCTCTCTCTCTCCCTCTTCCTTCCTCTCTGAAATCAAGATATATATAAAAGCCTAAGTGACTGAACGACCAAATGACCTGTTGACCAGTGGCTATGATGAGCACTGTCCACCAGGGGGGTCAGATGCTCAGTGCAGGAGCCCCTTCACTGACCCTGAATATCCCACAGACAACCTCCTTTGATCCCGACATTTCAATCACAACCTAGGCTGAGGGACCCCACCAGTGCAGATGGCCTCCTACTCACAGGTTGCCTCCCACCCTGGGCCCAGGTCCACAAGCATGGGGAGACCAGCCCCCCCTATCGGACAGCCATGGGCCTCCATGAGCCTCGGGAGCACCCATCACCCCCAGCAAGGAGCATCTCACAACACAGCCCTGTCTATGGGCTTTGACATCGGGGAGAGAGCTGTATCAAATCCCCCAAAATCACTTTCCACTCTGGGGGCACCGACCCGCCCTCCTGAGGTACTTACTGGTTGCCAGGCCCTGAGGGCCGGCTTTCTGCCCCATTCACGGGGAACGCCCTTCCTTGTGGACATGGGTCGTTCCTACTGGCATCCAGTCTGGACCACGGGAAGGTGGGGCTTTAGCGGCCACCCAAGACCCCCGTCCTCATCACAGGGCCCCAAGGCCTTATCCACTGGGCCACTTCCCGGTATTGCCCTGTCTCCAACCCATTCTTGGCTTGCCCGAGTCTGGCTGATCACCTAACCTGCCCCACAAAACCCTCAGCTGCCTTGTTTAGGTCGCTGCTGCCTAGCGGCCAGCCTGACGGCCAACAGGCCTTTCCCCCATGTCCCCGATGACCAGCCATTCTCCTGCTTAAGTCACAATTGCAGGCCGTTCACCTGGTCCCACCCCTTGTTGACTTGACTGCCTTCAGCTCTTGGTCTGTCCCCGCCCCCTCGTTCACTGGACCAATGAGCGAGCAACACTGGCCAGGATGCCCTGCTTCTCACACAAAGGGGCCTACTGCCCCACCTCTGGAAGTGTTGTTCAGTACCTAAAAGCCCCTATTGCAGATGGCCTCCTACTCACAGGTTGCCTCCCACCCAGGGGCGAGGTCCACGAGCATAGGGAGATCAGCCCCCTCTTTCGGACAACAATGGGCCACCATGAGGCTTGGGGACCCCCATAGCCCCCACAACAGGACATCTCACAACGGAGTGTCCTGCGACCCCGACAGCCATGCCTATGGGCTTTGAAATCTGGGAGAGATCTGTGTCAAGTCCCCAAAAATCACTTTCCACTCTGGGAGCACTGACCCTCCCCTCCTGAGGTACTTACTGGTTGCCAGGCCCTGAGGGCGGGCTTTCTGCCCCATTCACAGGGAACCCCCTTATTTGAGGACAAGGGACCTTCTTGCTGGCATCCAGTCTGGACAGAAGATGGGGATTTTTCGGCCACTAGGGACCCCCTTCCTCATTCATAGGCCCCTTGGCCATATCCACTGAACAACTTCCAGGTATTGCCCTTGGCAACAAACCATTCTTGGCTTGGCTACTTCTGGCTGTTCACCTAGCCTGCTCCCAAAAACCTACAGCCAACTTGTTTAGGTTGCTGCTGCAGGGCAGCTGGCCTGACAGCAAGCAGGCCTTTCCCAAGTGTCCCTGGCGACCAGCCTTTCTCCTGCTTAGGTCACAATTGCCTGCTCTTCACCTGGCCCCGTCCCTCATTGACTAGAGGGCCTTCAGCAATTGGCCTGGCCCTGCCCCCTTGTTCCAGAAACCCCGCCCCTCGGTCATTGGACCAATGAGCGAGTAGCACTGGCCAGGCTGCCCTGCTCCTAACCAAAGGAGGCCTACCTCAGCACCTCTGGAAGTGCTGTTTGGTGACTAAATGCCCCTAGGGCAGTTGGCCTTCTGCTCACAGGTGGCCTCCCATCCTGGGCCCAGGTCCACAAGCATAGGGAGACTAGCCCCCCCTTTCAGACAGCCATGGGCCTCCATGAGCCTCGGCTGCCCCCACGGGGCATCGCACAACTGAGTGTCCTGCCACCCCCCGGCCCTGTCTATCGGCTTTGACATCGGGAGAGAGCTGATTCAAGTCCCCGGAAATCACTTTCCACTCTGGGGGCACTGACCCGCCCTCCTGAGGTACCCTGATTCTTTGAAAATAACACATTGTGTTATATTAATTTTTGCTTCCAAAGATGGGCTAGGTCTTATTTTCAGGGATTGTCTTATTTTTCCATGAAGAAGAATACAGTACACATTGATTGTTAAATGAAAATAAAGAAAATTTATTACCTGTATACGGTACGGTAGGACTGTAGTTATCAACACAAACCAGACAACTGAGAATCCTACAGTATCAAGAATTTACTCATTTATTCAAGGACAATCATGTCAACATCTTCTGGAACATCATCATAACAATCCAATTCCTGAATTTCCTGGTGAATTTCTTGTGACTCCATTTCTTTCAGAATCAGTGGATGAAATCTCTCATGTTCAGCCTAAGGAGGGAAGGGGGGGCTTCTTTTCTGGGGATGCCTTCTATTTCACTCAGAAGGAAACCTGTAAGTAGATCTTATTTTCTGAGGATGTCTTATATTCGGGGAAACACAGTACTTACTGGTCGCTGGGCCCTGAGGGCGAGGTGTCTGCCCCATTCACAGGGAAAGCCCTTCCTTGAGGACAAGGGACCTTCTTGCTGGCATCCAGTCTGAACCAGTGGATGACGGGGCTTTTGTGGCCACTGGCAACGCCCATCCTCATTCACATGGCCTTATTTATCCACTGGACCACTTCCGGGTGTTGCCTCTGACTCCAATCCATTCTTGGCTTTCCCTCTTCTGGATGATCATTGAGCCAGCCCCCCCAAACCCCAGCCTCCTTGTTTAGGTTCCTGCTGCCAGGCGGCAGGCCTCACTGCCAGCAGGCCTTCGAATCACCCCCAACCTCCCCCCACCCCACCCGCCTACCCCTTCCACTTCCCAGTATCCCTGGCAACCAGCCTTTCTCATGCTTAGGTCACAATTGCCTGCTCTTCACCTGGCCCCGCCCCCTCATTGACTAGAGGGCCTTCAGCAATTGGCCTGGCCCCGGCCCCTTGTTCCAGAAACCCCGCCCCTCGGTCATTGGACCAATGAGCGAGTAGCACTGGCCAGGCTGCCCTGCTCCTAACCAAAGGAGGCCTACCTCAGCACCTCTGGAAGTGCTGTTTGGTGACTAAATGCCCCTAGGGCAGTTGGCCTTCTGCTCACAGGTGGCCTCCCACCCTGGGCCCAGGTCCACAAGCATGGGGAGACCAGCGCCCCCTTTTGGACAGCCATGGGCCTCCATGAGCCTCGGCTACCCCCACAGCCCCCACGGGGCATCGCACAACTGAGTGTCCTGCCACCCCCACGGCCCTATCGGCTTTGACATCGGGAGAGAGCTGTTTCAAGTCCCCGGAAATCACTTTCCACTCTGGGGGCACTGACCCGCCCTCCTGAGGTACCCTGATTCCCCGAAAATAAGATATTGTCTTAAATAAATATTTGCTCCCAAAGATAGGCTAG